CTGGCACAGACAGCCAGAGACTTTGCTTTTACTCTCTACCACCCCTAGCGGACGCGGGACGCCAATACATCTGAAACGAACTATGGACAAATGAGTTGTTTTGTGAAAACCTTAATCAGAAACGTGTGTATCCTGTCTGTAGTGAAATTGTGTATTCCTATTTCAAAATAATGTGTGTGTTGTTAAAATTTCTGTTCCATTTTTGTCTGAAACCATTCTTGAAGTCGCAGGGATTGGACGTCATAAGACACGCCCACAAACAGGAAACAAAACAGCTCTGCACCCGCAGATCAAGTCTCTTTTGAAACTTGTACGCTCTTTGAAACTTTTTTTGTCGTCCCAAGAGTGAAAAAAGAAGCTGGAAAACATGCATTAGAATTTAAAGCTCCGTCTGACTGGAACAGTTTGCCGTTGTCTATTCGCTCTCTAACTTCTCTGCCTCTGTTTAAATCTGCTCTGCTACAATATCTCCAGAACTCATGTCAATGTTTTTGATCTTAGGTTATGAGACCTGATCTTGTCTTTACTGTCTCCTAATTATTGTTATTACTATTATTATTGGGGCGACAGTAGCTCAGTTGGTAGAGCATTGGCCTTCAGGCCTGAAGGTCGTGGGTTCAATTCCCACCTCTACACCTTCTCCACCGACTCCCACTGATGACTGCTGTCGTTGTGTCCTTGGGCAAGACACTTAACCCCACTTTGCTCAAAGCCCCCACTGAAAGATCAAGGCTATGCTCACACTCAGAGCAGCCGTCCTCCTGTGGACTCACCACCTGCAGAGGGTCAGTGAGGGGCTGGTGCTATGAGACTTGGGTGGCATCTCTGACTGCCACCCCCCTGACCCAGAAATGGATTAAAGGGTAGAAAATGGATGGATGGATGGACTATTATTAATAGTATTATCCTTATTTAGTGTAATTACAGTACAGTCACAGCGCGTGTGTGTGTGTGTGTGAGTGATTGAGGGTTTATGTGTGGGTATTTTTTATGTTTTTATTTTTATGTTTTTATTTTTATTATTTTCTTGTATTTTTGTTTTGTTTGCATCTGTTTTGCTGTATCTGTCTGAAGAAGATGACATGGTCTGGGATCACGTCTTTCATTCCGACAGAAGACATGTTTTATTGTCGATGGTAGAGACAGCACGAACAACACGAACAACAGAATGCAAGTGTATTATACAGAGCGGAGGCATGGAGACCTCCAATCAGCAGCTGCCACAGTGCCATGTAGCTTGGCCTTCAGATAGACAAAACAAGGGAAAAGTACTGGCTTCTGCACATTGATAGAATGATGAGTTTAACTTTAACAAAAGTTGCTTCAAAGTGTTATGAAATCTCACATGTCACTTTGTGAAATCTCAAGGACCCCCAAAAAAAAAAAAAAAAATAAACTTCACCCTCCTTGATACGCACTTTTTGAAACGAAACGCAGCTTTTGCAACTTGCTGCTCCTTGAAGCTTTCCTTTGTTATGTATGTTGAGCTGGACTTGACACTGCCGCGGCCGAGCAGAACGTGACCGTTTACCACCCGCTCCAAGGACCTAGCGCTACCCCTTTTTAACCACATTACAAGGGAATAACGCAACTGGCTTTGCGGATAAGAGAGCCGCTTCCACCCCTGGCTCTCCTGGACTCCCACCTAAGCTATCCCGCTCTGGAGGCCGGTCCCCGGTCCCAATCAGAACACCTTTGAGGAGAAAGGACTGGTTATTTTGCCCCGAGGAACGAGAATCCTCCGTCAGCTATCGCAGCGGCTGCAATCGGGCTTTCTGGGGAACAATACCGCCTTTGTTCACTACTACACGCGCACGGACGAGAGACCTCCCAGCCACCGCAGAGGCCTCTTCCCTCCTCCGGGCGAGAACAATAGCCACGCGTTCGTCCTGCTCCCAGACCACACTAGTGAGGAACCAGGGACTACCATCACTACTCACAGTAAGCCCTGTTTATACTGAGACGCTGCGCAGACGTTTCCAGGCTATTAACAGAAACGACCAGGCTCCTAATGCAAATTTCTCAGCGTTCACATGAGGCTGAAAAACGATGTAGTTCTAGCGCCCGGCCAGTAGTGGGCAGAGAAACTTTACAACACGACACACAACCCCCAGCCCCGTGCCCAGCCCCCCCCTCGGCAGTGTACTCACTTCCTGTGCCAGACCCTCAGGAAGTACCAACATCATTCTGCATTTTAACAGCAGCTGTGAAAATGGAAACTGAACCTAAAGCTTCGCGTGGTCTCGTTTGGACAAACGAAGGTGTAGAATTATCCTCTGTGTAGCGCTGGAAGCCCACGTAGCTAGTTAGTGCGCGCGGCGCCATTGTTGTTGATGTTTGTTCTCCGCTACTGCGCTTGTCCAAATTTAAGTGTGGAGAGCAGCGTGGAGGTGGGGGTCAGAGCAGAGGGGGATTTCACACCTATTGAAAGAGAGCCCCCGCTGTGCAGTGTTTCTGAGTTGTCCCACTCTGCAGGCTGGATCTGAACACTTACGTTTTCACCCCCCTGGAACACAGTCTTCGTATGAACGGTTGGTAGAAACCGACATCCAACTATACCGTTTTACTGCCACATTGTCTCCGTGTAAACTCAGCCTAAGATCGAAACACCGTGTTGGTTGTGTATGTTGTGTTATGATTTGAATGTGATTTGATCATTCTGGTTTATTTGACTAAAACTCTTTGTTACCCTATTCATTCTCTATGTGTAGTTAATAAACGGAAACTAATTTTCAGTAAATCGTCGGTGCTTTTTTGTTACAATCATTGAGTTCCGTGGCAGGATAGTAACCCCCGACCTCCAGATTATGAGACTGATCAAGGCATAAACCTAGTGGGAATTTTTGCAGAACCTTTCCCTCTGCTGGTGCCCTAAAAACTTCTTGAGCCCGCTAGGCCGGAGTGCTGTGAGCCTTAGAACAACGCTTTGTGGTGGTGAGAACCAGCACAAGACTTGTACTGAGACAATAGCACTCCCCAATTTTCTTCTCCAACACTGCTTTTGTCGCCTTCAAATGTAAATAAAGTAAATGAATCGTCCACCATTATTTCAAACCATTTGAATGTGAAAGTCCAGTTATAGGGACACAGTCTTCAGGACAAAGAACAAAGAAGACCACAAATACGCCATCGACACGTTGAAATAGAGTCGCAGTTTCCTGATTTAACTGAGAGGAAAACACATGTTTCGATCATGCATAAGACAAGTCTTTCACTTTCATCATCTGTGTTTTCTGGTCACACCACATAATAGTTGTGATCCAATGCTCATGTGGCTCATTTCAGCCTCTCCATCTCCACACTTCAACTGAGAGACAATGAACTAAGTTCACTCCAGACCTGAACCCATCCTCCGCCGCTTTGATGGAGTATTCCCCCATTTTCCATCAGCTGCAGTCACTCAGATTCTCCGCTACTCACTCATGCCTTTAGGAATATGCACCGCACCATGTATAATGTATTCTCCAACTGACTATCAGGCCTTCAATGGAGGAAAGAGATCCAAACATGGGTTATTCATCCGGGTTTTAAAGGGGTAGTCGACTATTGAATAAAAGTACTTTAAAATGGCTTATGCACCATCAAGGGTAATTGCGCGGGGTTTCACTTTTGGGGACGAGTAAAGCAGTATCCTGTATCAAAGGCTTAAAGCTGTCACCAGGATAACACATAATAATGATTATTTTTTGTGGTGGAGGGGAATCCTTTTTAAATTAATTCTTGAATCTAGTAAGAATCCAAATATTGAAACTAGCTTAATAGTTTTGAGCCACATGAACGTCCTCAATACTAAGACAAATTATATTAAATATAATATATTATACAGAAAATAGGTACATGGAAGTAAATATAATCTTCCCGTCAGAAGTACATTTAGTTATTCCACTAAAAACTCCATCATCATTCAGATTCCAAAAGGAACATTTCATTCTGTAAAAGACGCATTTGAACTTTTTGTGAAAGGAACTATGCGTTTGAACAGTTTCATCCATATTCCACAATGTACCCATTTTTTTACTATTTAATCTTGTTTCCTCATATTTCTTAAAACCATATTTGTCCAGGCTTTTAAAATACTATGAATATATAATGTTTTACTTTTGTTATGCTTTTAGAACACCACAGGGTTTATGGTCATCATGTATAACAACTTTTATTAGAAAAGCTCTTAAAAGAAGCAGAGTGTGATGTTGAAGCAGTGAGTGTCATCCATCAGACTGTAGCTGCCGGAGTCAGATATTAACATGCACAATATTGTACTTAATCGCTGTCGCGGCGCTGGGAAAGGCTCAAACTCATAAAATGTTCCAATCTGACAATTGAGAATCTCCTTGCTCCCATAGTACTTGCATATAGTGTGTGTGTGTGTGTGTGCGTGTATGTGTGTGTGTGTGCATGGAAGGTGTCTGGAAAGCTTTGTCTATTTAAAGCTTGTTCTAGGGGATCGCTGAGCCAGCGCTTTTCCGTGTGTGCTCCTCACTAACCCTCGCCCCACTTCTGCTCCATTCATTCTGGTCGAATGCGCGTTTTCAAAAAATGCAGGAGAGTGGCTTAGTGTCATTCATAAAGTGTGGCGTCTTACCAACCCAGTAAAATCATTGCACAGTTCTTGATGGTTCGAGAAGTAACTTTTTTGGAAAATGATATAATCTATCTTGCTGTTTATTTTTACTGCAATTTCTTCTCATTTATGTCAATTACCAAAATAAATAACTACATCCAGAAACATGTGTGATCCTCCAGTGCATGCATGCGTATCCAAAGGGCTTCAACGCAGATGTCAGTCTCTCCTTCTTAAGAGCACATCCTCCTATTGAACCTAATGCCCAAGGATGTCCTGATGGAGCAGTTGAACTTCCCATTGACCCCGGAAAAAGCAATACTGATGAATTGTGCTTATCCCGACATCCACACCATCCATCATCGCACACGGACATACATTCACCCTCTCGTTCATCCATCAATAAATACTGTCCAGGCCAATAGTTCCATCTGCTTACCTATAAGGATGAGCATGCACACGAGCAGAGCTATGAGTGCCCCTGGGCTCAGAGCCGCACTCATCACGTAGGCTGTGGCGGCGCAGGACTGGATAGCTCCCTCTGTGGAAAGGATGGGAGACCAGAGCATATCAAAGAAGATACATGTCAAATCTGATCATCAACCGTCTGTTACAATATGCTACATTGATTGGGACCATCCACTGTAAATATTAACTTAGTAAAGCCTATTTTCTGTATGTGTGTGCGATCCACAAGGACCTTTTCAAAATGGCTGCTAGTAGCCCCTCCCACAGAAAAACTGAAAAAAACCTTTAGCGCATGCTAAATATTTTTTCTTGGACCAGTCTAGTTAGTTGCTGTGTACTTTTGAATGCACTTGTTAAATGAATGGGGCTCATGAAGCTAATGCACGAAAAAATGCATGCATTAGCATTTTCCTGCCCCGCAGCTATTTTGAAAATACCCAGAAAAGGCAAAAGTGGTGGCACATAAGTTTCAACAGCGGCTATAGGCGTGACTACATTCGTTAATATTTACAGTCTGTGGTTGGGACCCATTGATTGGGACTGGTCTAGTTCGAGGCTGATCCATTCTCTGTTTCAAATTCAAAACTAATCGAAAAAAAAAATCCTAATTCTAGTTACTTTGTCAACTTCCCTTCTATACACAGATGCAGCTGTTTCCACAGAGTCTAATAAATCTTTTACTTAATGCCAGAAGTACATTTTCATATACAGTTTAGAATCATATGGCCTAGCTTCAAATCAAAAATATAATTCCAAAATTGTATTGTTGTGCCCTGACAAAATCAAATCAATGATCTCTAAAAAAACACTGTATGTATTTACTGATATATTGTTTATTGTCTATATGTTCTGTATTTCAAGGTTGCCAAAAAAAAAATTATAATAATAAATGAATAAAAAATAAAAAAAAACTACAAAATAAAAAAAAAAATATCTGGAAAGCATTTTTTTTTTTTTTCATGTTCTAAGCAATTCCCATCCACTCTACTACACAGACCCAAAATGCCACATGACTACCCCTGACTCACACCGCGTCTTCTCCGCTCACATAAGTCATAATCACACTAATCCCCCATGGTGAAACCCCCATGGGACTTGGGCTGGTCACCGTGAGCCATGCCGATGACCTTTCCCTGCTCCTCGCCGCTGACCCAGAAGGTGACAGTGAAGATAATGCAGGTAATGGCAGCCTCACCTCGGTCACAGCCGCACACGTGGATGGTGAGAGTCCCCGTGGAGCTCAGCGAGGGCGGGCCCGAGTCCACCACCAGGATGGGCAGGAAGTACACGTTCTGCTCGTGACGGTTAAAGCGTGAGCGCTCGGTCCGGATGCCCGCGGTGTTATCTGGAGAGGGACAGAGGGAGAAGGCTGGAGTCAGGGTCAATGCCCACAGAGATCACGAATAGAATCCAGTTAAAACTCATCCAAAGCTACTCCACTGCTGTCCTGGTTTGTGGAGGGACCTGATCACTGATTGGGTAGCTTTACAGCACAGCAAGTAAACTAGAACTGCTAGAGCCGCCATTTTGAGTCCCCCCATTCAAACCAATGGAGTTTTAAAAATTCCCCAAAAGAGTGAGCTAGTTTTTACTTTTACCCTCTTTCAGTAAGTGCAAATAAAAACTGACGAATATGACTGAAATACAGCAAAAACAGTATGCAGAAAAGTGCCTAAATGCTCGCTGGGACAATAAACAGCGTGTTGCTATGGTAACTAGCACTCTCTCAGTTCTGGTGGGAAATATAGCTGACATTTTACATCAGAGAAACTACTTACATTTCAAAAGTAGTAGTTCACACACAAAGACTGCATAACACTTCCAGATCACACTTCATACATCACAGAATAACACAATAAACCCCAACAACAAAACCAAGGACAAGGTTAGTGAAGAAAGAAGGTGGTGAGGATGGTTTTTGTCAGAACAATGGTGTCTGGAAGTCAGGTGAGTACAAATGACTTAAAGCCGGACTACCTCACTTTACTTTTGTATGCATTAGGAACATTAATTTCATACTGTATCTATGCAGTGCATTGGGATATTCGTCCTTTTGAAGAAAGTAGGGCTGGTTTGTACTGGAGTGTTATTCTATTTTTGATCACATTTTAACGGGAAGAGAATTTTTTTCGGGACCAGATTCGGGCCAATCCCAGCAGACCACTGGCCCCCACTTTGTTGAGAAAATCTACAGGTCTCTCGTTGGCGAACAGCTGAGGTAAACTAGCATCATGGCGGAGGCGAACCTGAAACTAAAAAAAAGAGCTAGGGCAGCGTTTACATTTGAAACTGCTGCTTCAAAGTCAAGAAGTGAGTTAGTCCAGCTTTAAATGAAAAAAAAATATTCACATTATGAGAAACTCTGGGTTAGATAAGGTTAAGTTGATTTTTACGAAATAGGTTGTTGTATCTTCTTCTCAGCAGAAGTTCCTCGCACAAACCAGTGTATTGTATTGGAGAAGGAATGCACTCTGAGATATGTATTAAAGAAAGAGTTTAAAGGCATATTCAGAACACATTAAGTCAAATTCAGGCTTAGCGCTTTCAGCCTGGGTCAGCTCCAAGAATGAGGATGGTAAAAATGACAAAACACAGTGCTCTTATGGATGGGCTAGGACACCGGATGTAGTGAATATATATGTAGTTCAATAATCTTGTAGACTAGTCCTGGTTAAACTCTGTATCCTGAATCTGTCTCACTGAGGGTCTCACTACAGGCTCTTATTGTCCTTCCAGAAGTCCACAGCCCCATTGACCCCAGAGAAGGGTCGGTAGAGTCAGCTGTCTCTCCAATTGGGCCCAAATGTTCCAAACATATTTTATACATATTGAAGATACATGTATGTGTGTAGGAGTTATAATAGCAGATAATATAAGGTCAAAAGAAATGTGACTGTGACTTGATCGATCTTTGTTTGAGGCCGGTTCAGTCTTGTTTTCTCGTTGGAATGAGTTACATCAACCTCTATTTTGTCTCGTAATCTATATGAACTCCACTCTTTTACAGATTCAAGCACGATCGTTGGAACAATCAAAGCTTTTCCCATTGTCAGAACAAGGCCCGCTTTTTCACTTCAGACTTAACATAAAAAAACTACTGCTGCTTTTGGAAGACGACTTGAAAGACAAATACACAACACATATTTGCTCCATTTGAGATAGATAACCTGCCATCCGACGTGGTTCAAGGGTAAAAAAGTTCCGTCAAAGCGAGGTATTTTTCGGATATTTATTATATCTTTAAATTCAGCGCATGAAAAACACTCCAGTATGAGCAGGAGTAATGGGAATCACACTTAAACACTGTGTATATATCAACAAGCCCTCGAAAAGACAGATGTATCTCAAGAACCGGAAAGAGGAATTTGACAAATAGACTCGGGCAAGCAGAGGAGACTTGAGCGGAGAAAACCGGGTAATCCATCTCGCCGAACATATATCACTGTTAGACTGTCAGTGTGTGGCTGCTCTGGCACATGGAGCACAATCTTCATATTACCACTTATATACGGGAATCGCACGTCCATGACAATGTCCTGCTTGACTTTTTGGACTCTTCAGGTTGACTTCTGTGTCAGTTCCAGCAGGAAAATAGCTCATCACTAATAGCCAAGATTTGAATGACTTTGCAGCAACGTGTTGAAATGATCCATAGATACAAACAGTTTTATCAATCCAGCAATAGCAACCTTGATGATCCTTTTTGTGCAATACACTCAGTTAACAAGTTCACATCAATATATCTTTTGAATCTTTTGAAGCCAATGAAGAAGATGACATAGTCTGGGATCGCGTCTTAAATTCAGACAAAAGACATGTTTTATTGTCGATGGTAGAGACAGCACGAACAAAGCACACGAGCACAGATACAAGAGAATGCAAGTGTATTATACAGAGCGGAGGCATGGAGACCTCCAATCAGCAGCTTCCACGGTGCCATGTAGCTTGGCCTTCAGATAGACAAAACAAGGGAAAAGTACAGGCTTCTGCACATTGATAGAATGATGAGTTTAACTTTAACAAAAGTTGCTTAAAAGTGTTATGAAATCTCACACCAACCCATTTCATTTTGAATGCCCTTTTATTTACAATCAGAAACCATTGTTTGAAATCAATAGAGGGTGTTACAGTTGGGAGGAAAAGGTGTACATTATTGTGTGCTTGTGCATATGAATGCCCTGGTAGCAATGATTAAACATTTACAAGTAACTGTAAACTTTGTAAGAATGGACAATGCCAACCCGCTAACTCTTTAAAGAAATTCAGAATTCAGAAATTACCCCCAAAAGTGACCACTCAGGTCAGGTATAGTGCAAGCAGAAACAGGAAAGCACGCTTAATGACCGCCTCCTTCGTTGCTAGATTGCCCTTTTTGCAGCTTCTTTGGCAAAAAGGCAAACACCTGGGTGATATTGACAATCAGGGAGTCCACTACTTCTGTCTGTTATAGCTTCATGCTTGTAGCTTGACTCTCAGGTCCTTGTCGTTTGCTGAGCTTCACACAAGGGTCTGGAATTTTACAATAGGAGATGTTTTTGTATTTGGGTGACAGTGGCTCAGTTGGTAGAGCATTGGCCTTTGGGTCTGAAGGTCATGGGTTCGAGCCCGCCACGAGACCCATTTCACGACTCCCACTGATGACTGAAACATCAAGGCTCATGTGCACTCACCACCTGCAGGAGGATCAGTGAGGAGCTGGGGCTGTTTGTTCTGACTGCCAACCCCCTCTCTGACCCAGAAATGGATTAAGGGGAAGAAAATGAATGGATGGAGATGTATTTGTAAAAAACAATCATTGTATGTGATTGGATAAACCACTTGTCCGTTATCCTGAATGATATGCTACCTTGAACACTCACATCGAAACAAAAAAAACTTTGACTTTTAAAACCCACTTATCACAACATGGAACATCAACAACTCTTCTCTCAAATTGCATTAAAAGGGACGTTTGTGTCTTAATTCAATTGTATTTAAACTTTTTAAACAGTTCAAATTTGTTGTGATTGCTATCTTGAAGGAGTCTGCATTGCCCTCAATCCCAGACCCTTGACGTGGATCTCAGCGAAACGCCTCTGGTGGAGCATGCTGGACCTACAATGGTCCGGTGAGAGTCAGGAGTGCATGCTTGTGACCTGTCGAAGAAAATCACAGCAGCAGAGATAAAACACAGGAAATAGGTGATTGGTTCTGCACAGGGGCTCATCTGAGTGACAAATGCATGTTCCTGACAATAATTACAGAGTGAGACTTATGCACACTATGAATAACATGGTTCCCTCAAAAAATACATGTAGTTTTTTCAGCTCTACACACTATCAGGAACATATGAGTGACACAGAGACAGACTCACACTCTTTTCAAACCTGTAATGGTGTGACGAATGCATAAGAATGTCTGCCGTTTGATCATGTCTTATTCCATATATGTACTGTTTATGTATATCCATGTTCTTTCTACACACTAAAAACCCATGACATTCAAAAACATGAAATGCCAAAGAAAATAGTCTATAAATCAGGTTTAAGAGTCTAAAGGCGCTGTAACATTCACCTAAACATACATTGCACACTCAATCTGCAGAAGCTTTCCATCTAGGATTATTATCTAAAACATTTATGGACATTTATCAACATTCATGGACTTAGGTCAACTCCCTATGGACCAATACCATTTGTTGTCGTCGGTTTCAATGGTTTTGTAATGTCCTCTGTGTCATGGTGTGGATTTTTGTTTCTGTGTTTGGTTTTATTTTGACATTGGTTGTCTGAGCAAAGGAAGGTTTCTCACCCATCATCTGTACTTCTTAGCAAGTTTTCCCAACGTTTTGTCCTCAATCCTAAGGACTAAGGGAATGAATTCTCGGACCGTGCGTTAGAGATTTATAACCTATGGGTGTGGTTAGCCACACCCTAATCCTGATACTAACTCATAAACAATCTAAGGTCTGTTTGATGTAGAAGGGAGCAGGTCTAACAACCCTGCTGAGGCTAACGACCCTAACTCATTAGCATGTCACTGACTTTGTCCCATTGGTTGTCTGGTTTCATTTCAGTTTTGCTTCATGTCCTGTTCCCCTGTCTTGATTGTCTGCCCCGTCCTGATGTGATTCACCTGTGTCTGTGTGTGTCTCCCTGTGTACCCTGTGCTTCTCTCCCATGGTTGCTGCTTCATTGTCTTGTCAAGTTCTGTCAGTCTGTCCTGTTCCTGTGTTCCTGATTGTATTGTTTTTACCTTGTATTTTATTTGATTAAATCTTTATTTTGGCATTGTGGCGTTTGAGTCCTCACTCACCCCACCCCCTGACACTCTGAGTTAGCTACTTTTGTGATTTAGGGATATACAAGAATACATTTAATTGAATGTGTCAGCCAAAATGTGTTAACCCAAATAATACATCAGTGTTTTTTTTCTCAACTTCCTTGCTCTGAACTAGAATATTTAGTTTACCGGTTACAACACATAAAATCAACAGGGCCACCACATCTCCACCTGGTAACCACTGACACATGACAGATTAAACGTTCTTTCTCAAACCGCTCATCTTCCTAATCCAGAGCACCATTCTTTAAACGATTCGTGTAACACATGTGCAAAAAAAAAGGCTTTTCATCATTTCGTCACTGGCATGTCAAGGCTGGGCGACAGAGCGCATTGTGAGCCCATGATGAGGAAAAGAAGCGGTGACACACTGGAAGTGACAGGTTGACAAATGTGTCCATGAAAGAAGACAGCGGAGAGTGGTACAGCCGAGGTGGGAGGATGAAATAACGCCATGTGGGTTGCCGTGCTTCAACCAAAATGCGGACAGGGCTGTTGTGTTGTAAGTGTCGGAAAGCAAGAGTGCCAACCCACAAATTTAATAATGTTGTCTAACCTTGTGAGGTGTGTGGTGAAGTTTAATTGATTGTAATTGGTTATGTAGAAGGAACTCGTGAGTTTTAAATGGCTCTTCCAAAACTCCTCCCCAACTTGTCCATCTCTATCAGTAAGGTTAAAATGGATTGTAGATTCAAAAGTGGCTATTGGTTTTTACAACACAAGTTTAATTTCAAACTAAAATGCGCATGAAGAGGTGAATCACAAAATTGAGAATAATTAATCCACAAAGGACAGAAAGATACAAGATCCTTCTAGGCAAAAACTATACATTTTAAAAATCTCTGGATCCTTTGAGCCCAAAGTCTTGACAATTTTGCTGAAATGTTGTACTCCCAAAGCTCGTGCAGATTATGTCTGTTGTTTACTTTTCATGGAAAGAAAAATGCTTTCAAGCGTCGCTGAACGTTGGACTTGTTCAGATGTCAGTTCAGGCAGTGACATGTAAATTGATTAATCACAACTAATCGATCATTCTTTACATAAACAGTACGTTTTATGACTCAGAACAGTTAACACAGACTGAAAAATGCAATGTGTTTACCAAATATTCTAATCCAACAAATTTACAAATCTAATATCTTCTATCTTTTGGTCAGCATCGGCCAAAACTAAAATGTGTCTCATTCTAAAACTGTCTGTGTTTGCCAATCCAGTTTTCTGCAGTGTACAGAGAATTTGCATCCAACTTTGTAAACTGTGTTGGCTGCTGCAGTGACTTCTGGCAAATCTCCCGAGATACTTTAACCTGGTTATTTTTCTGTTCCGCTTTTGAACCAGGAACAATCTCTATTGATATGTTTAGGGAAGGTGAATACAACAAAGGAACAGCATTAAAACTAAAACTATCTTACACTGGTTTGTTATTTGTCTATAAAGTTAAAAAAGTATGAATTGAAAAACAAAATGGGTATTGCTAAAGTATTGATATTGCTGACTGCCTTCTATCCAAATGGAAGCGCCCCCTGCCTTCACACGGTGACATTTCCCTATAGCTGGGCTGCACCCCTGACATTTTGCTGGTGTCAAATCAATCTTTATTTAGCCACTTGTCACATTTAGGCACACGTCTCTAAACGATGGATCTGTGCAAACACAGGGAAACAGAGGAGGAAAAATATGTCCGTGTCTCCATATTTCTCCAGGCGGTATGTTCTCGGGACACTTTCAATGGATCTATTTTAGTATCTGGATAGGGTATTGCTCACGTGGTAAAATGCCACCCAGCGTATTGCAGTCTATCAGCACTTTTTTGGTCGGAACCAGTGTGGGCGAATCCTGGCTCCAGAAGTTCCATGGGCACGTGCGCTGACATGCTTGCAATATCACTCCAGGCTGGTGGGGGTGTACCCGGATTAAGAATGACCCAATGATTTTTCCTCCCAAAAACGGCTTTATGGATGGTCCAAAAGTCGGCTCCTGGCCCAAAGTTTTGATCCAGATTGAGAGGTAGAGTGGGCGCTGCTGTGGGTGGGGTATGCCGGTCAGGTGCTCACGAGAATCCAAAAAGCAAAAACCTTAATACGAATGGGAAAAATAAAGTCCTTTTTTCCTCTGTGATACGGCCTGCATCTAATAGCTCAAGCCTTTGACTTGAATGGGCAGCTATGTTGAAAACCTGAAGCTTGATAGTTTCTTGACACATATTTATTGCTCATCTGGCTCGTAAATTTGCTCAAAGTGTGAATGTGCATCATATTCTTGTGTTCTTTCAAATCGATTGAAAACTAAGCCTTAAGTATTTACATTATTGTGTTTATTCTTGTTTGCCGATAAGACTAAAGACAGGTGTTGTTTGTCTTAAAATAATAATTGCCTATAATCTTGGAAGTAATAAAAATACACTTGTGGGATTCTTAGAGCACTAACATTTTCCTCAAGTTTTAAGAATCAGCCATCTGCTTTACGGAACGAGCTCTTTTGTTCAGGCCTAATGGATCATTTATTTGGAGAATAACAAGTTGGCAGTCACTGGAGAAATGACCTCAACATGGGGGAGTCTAATGGTTTGAGATGATGCTGGAAGTTTGTTTTTGTCTGTTTCATAGACCGGAGAAAGCATGTCCACAGCGTTTGGCTTTTCCCTGACAAAGCTGAATGGATTCAATAACAGGAATCTAAAGCCGAGTACTCAGATTGTAACATCCCAGCAACCAGAGACGAGCAGACATATGGGGTCAGTTTATGGGGAACATATCTTGCATGTAAAAGCCAGATCTTGTCACACCTCTGAAGCTGAGCAGGACAGGACCTGGTTAGTACTGTGATGGGAGACCTCTGGGAACACAAGGAGCTACAGTAAGTAAGTAAGTAAGTAATCTTTATTTATATACCGCCTTTCACAGACCAGAGTCACAAAGCGGTTTACAATTGTTATTTTTGGGCATTTGTCTCTCACTCCACAGAGATGGGAGCGGGGTCGCCAAACAGGAGGCGCATGCCAGACCTATTGTACATATTTTTAGTGGTAGGGGAAACCGGAGTACCCGGAGGAAACCTACGCAGACACGGGGAGAACATGCAAACTCCACTCAGAAAGGCCCTGGTCCGGCCGGGATTCGAACCCAGGACCTTCTTGCTGAGAGGCGAGAGTGCTATCCACTCAGCCACCGTGCCGCCAGGTGGGGCGGCTACGACTGTGAAGTGCCAAACTGTGGTTGTGTCCTTAGGCAAGACACCTCACCCATATTAGAATGAGTCTGGTGTGTGTGTGTGAATGGTTGGTGGTGGTCAGAGGAGCTGATGGCACATACTGGTTGCCTCACCTCTGTCAGTGTGTCCCAGGGCAGCTGTGGCTACAGTAGTAATTTATTAGCACTGTGTTTGGAGTGAAGGAATAATGACATGTGAAACTTTGAGTGTCCTGAAAAGTGCTACAGTATATAAAACCAATGCATTATTATTTATCATGATATGAAATACACTGTAATAATAATAATTTAAAAAATCTGCCCGAAATGGTGGGTGTTTCAATAAAAGTGAATGGGAGACTGAAGGAGTATAGTAGGAGCATATCACCTTTGATGTCCCACAGGGTGAAGTGGCGGCTGTTGGCCTCAGGAGCCAGGGTGAAGGAGAAGCGGTGCCCAGTCTGCGGTTCATCCCGGTCCACCACACTGATCGTATGAATCAACTGCGGACAAAGAAAGAAAACACATCTGTTATAAAACACAGCATGTTTTTTTTTTAAACACACTGTTCCGAGACCCACAGCACCTGCACGTCATCCTTTCAAAAACCTCAAATATTAATGTCACAAGATACGCACTGTGTAAAAGATACTGCCTCATCACAACAGAGCTCATGATTCATTTTCATTATATTTGCCATTTGCGGTGAAACCACATTGGAATACATTTGCAAAAGTCCCCAGTGTGCATAAGACAAGTATATACATAAAACAAGGTTAAAAGTATTAAAAGTACAGGTAGAAAACAGTAAACAATTGTCTCTGTTAAATACATCGAACTAAAGATTATTTAAAGTGCTTTGTTTAAACTGATAACAGCTTGTGGAAAGAAGCTGTCAGCAAAACAAGATGTCCTAACTCTTAAAGATATATATCTTCTGCCAGAGGGAAGAAGCTGGAACATGGCTTTTCCAGCGGCCAAAAGAGTCATTGATTATTCTAAGAGCTTGGTTGAAAAGTCTGAATTCTTAGTGAACCTCCAGCTCACAGTCCTCTCTTTGGTCTGTCTCTGGTCTCTCTCTCTGGTCTCTCTCTCTGGACTCTCTAGTCTCTCTCTAGTCTCACCCTGGTCTCATCCTGGTTGCTCTCTGGTCTCTCTCTGGTCTCTCTCTCTGGTCTCTCTGGTCTCACAGCTGACAGTCCTCTCTCTAATCTCTCTCTGGGCTCTCTTTCGTCTCTCTCTGGTCTCTCTCTGGTTTCATCCTGGTCTCTCTCTAGTCTCTCTCTAGTCTCACCCTGGTCTCATCCTGGTTGCTCTCTGGTCTCTCTCTGGTCTCTCTCTCTGGTCTCTCTCTCTGGACTCTCAGGACTCTCTGGTCTCACAGCTGACAGTCCTCTCTCTAATCTCTCTCTGGGCTCTCTGTAGTCTCTCTCTGGTCTCATCCTGGTCTCTCTCTGGTCTCATCCTGGTCTCTCTCTAGTCTCACCCTGGTCTCATCCTGGTTGCTCTCTGGTCTCTCTCTCTGGTCTCTCTCTCTGGACTCTCAGGACTCTCTAGTCTCTCTCTGGTCTCACAGCTGACAGTCCTCTCTCTAATCTCTCTCTGGTCTCTCTCTGGTCTCATCCTGGTCTCTCTCTAGTCTCACCCTGGTCTCTCTCTAGTCTCACCCTGGTCTCTCTCTAGTCTCACCCTGGTCTAATCCTGGTTGCTCTCTGGTCTCTCTCTGGTCTCTCTCTAGTCCTTCTCTGGTCTCACAGCTCACAGTCCTCTTTCAGCGCAGGGCACCTTGTTGAGAGCTCTCCTTTCTTTGGCTGTGATGTCACCAAACAAAAGACATATGTACAATAAAACCTTAACAACAGTCATCCCTGAGAGACAGAGAAACACTTCATTTAAACCTGTGTCCAGTTAAACCTAAATAAATACATTTGAAGTGAACAGAGCCTTTTTCAACCGTCCATTTGTTTGAGGAGTGAGCCAAAAATGCAAACGCACAAGCTCAACACAGCAGGAGTGGGGCATCAAATATGAATATCACAAAACACAAAAAAGTCAGTGGTACATGTTCAGAGATGGGCAGAGTTTTAAAAGGCATCAGAAACCCAGAGCTGTTCACTTTCGACAGTCACCATTCATCCTCTGTCCAATTGCCCCTCGGCCATTCCCCAGTGTAAGGCAGATAAATGACATTTCTACGTCACATACGAGGCCTATTCTTTAGACTTATGTCAGACTGATAGCTCTGATGCTAAGCACACACTTGGCTTCTTCTTGTCAGATGCTTTGTGTGGTTTCTGCTCATCTCCATCTGTTTTACACTTTCAATGTGAAAACAGATTCTAGTACTGCTATTTAGTGATTGTGATTTAGGTTTCTACACTGTGATTGAATTTAAGTGAATATCCAGCCTCAGTCGTCCTGGACTCTTTTACAGTCTCGGTCCTGGATCAACAGTCTCAGTCCTGGATCAACAGTCTCAGTCCTGGATCTACAGTCTCAGTCCTGGATCTACAGTCTCAGTCCTGAATCTACAGTCTCAGTCCTGGATCTACAGTCTCAGTCCTAGACTCATCAACAGTCTCAGTCCTGGATCTACAGTCTCAGTCCTGGATCTACAGTCTCAGTCCTGAATCTACAGTCTCAGTCCTAGACTCATCAACAGTCTCAGTCCTGGATCTACAGCCTCAGTCCTGGATCTACAGCCTCAGTCCTGGATCTACAGTCTCAGTCCTGGATCTACAGTCTCAGTCCTGAATCTACAGTCTCAGTCCTGGATCTACAGTCTCAGTCCTAGACTCATCAACAGTCTCAGTCCTGGATCTATAGTCTCAGTCCTAGACTCATCAACAGTCTCAGTCCTGGATCTATAGTCTCAGTCCTAGGATCATCAACAGTCTCAGTCCTGGATTTACAGTCTCAGTCCTAGACTCATCAACAGTCTCAGTCCTGCATTAACAGTCTCAGTCCTGGATCTACAGTCTCAGTCCTGGACTCATCAACAGTCTCAGTCCTGGACTCATCAACAGTCTCAGTCCTGGACTCATCAACAGTCTTTGGTCCTGGATCTACAGTCTCAGTCTTAGACTCGTCAACAGTCTCGGTCCCTGGAATAGAACCCATCCTTCGAGTTGGTTCTCGGTTCTCACCAATCGGATTCAATTCAGATTCATTACTTTGTCATTTGCAGTAAAACCACATTGGAATACATAACTGTTTGTTCGTCTTTGAACCTCCGGGTTAAGGTTAAGATCAGGATCGAAGGAAGTTCAATGCGATGGGACATTTTCACAATTGTTTAATTCCTGTTAACATTTCACAGAAAATAATATTTCATTGGTTTCTCTAATCTGCTATCAGCAAATCAACACTTTGCAAAGTCCATGAGACAACTGATTTAATTGTTTTTTATTGATTTATTGATTTAATTATTTTGTTCAAAGTCCAGTTGATTTGTTCTCACGTCCACATGATGTGCTCTATATTTGAAGCAAAATTCCCGATTTGAACAATCCCTTGTTTCTTCTGTCACCGTGATCCAGAATAATACTGTGAATGAACCATAACTCATATGATTCAGTTTATTTAAAATCATGAGCACAGTCGTTACAAGCTCAGTTTTGTTTGCAGTATGTAAAAAAATAAAAGCAAATGTTGAACATGTGGTAAATCAGTTTGTGTCAAGAGAGCTGAACAAATGTTGTTTTATGAAGAGCCTGGATGAAAGATTTATTCTATCAACAAACACTAGTAAATTTATTTCTGTAATAAAATTTGAGATGGTAAAATGCATAAAAAGCTAAAGAAGTTTCACAAAAAAGGAAATATATTGCTTCAAAACAAAACAAGCTACAGGGGAAGCAATGAATCAGTGACAGCGCTGGAAGAGTGATGACAACACAACTATTACTTTAGAAACAACTCGTACATTTGTGTGTGCAAATGTGTGGGCGTGTGTCGCACAAACCTGCACTCACACTTATTTTTTTCTTTGAATAGATGTTATGAACAGCCACAAAAAAAAACAAAAGTGCACAACAGTAATGGATGAATGGGTCATGGATATAAAGGACTTGAAACAATAACTGGTTCTTTTCAGTGCTTTATGATGAATGATTATCTGGCCAAACTGAGCCGAGCGAATACAAGCTGTAAAGTCACCCAACTCTTACTTGTTTTGTTTAATCTTTATTTTATTGGCTATAAGCTGAAAATTACAATGAAAATATAGTTTGGTCGGATCAGATGTGGTCGACTGCGACATTGGACCTACTGAGCTCTTACAATATTCATGTAAAACAAGGTCTCATAAGAAATGCAAGCACCTTCTGTACTTTACTTTTGTGGCCATACTTGCAAAATCCAGATCTTGTCAGGCCTCTGAAACTGTGCAGGTCAGGGTCTGGGTAGTATTGTGATGGGAGACCTCCGGGAACACCAGGTGCCACAGTGGGGCGGCTACGGCTGTAAAGTGCCAAACTGTGGTTGTGTCCTTTGGCAAAACGCTTCACCCACATTGCCAAAATTGAATCTGGTGTGTGTGTGTGTGAATGGTTACTGGTGATGGCACAGACTGGTTGCCTCGCTTCTGTCAGAGTGCCCCAGGTCAGCTGTAGCTACGGTTGTAGTTTCTCACCACCGTGTTTAGAGTGAAAGAATAATGTGAAAACTCTTTGAATGACCTGAAAAGAACTGTCAATGTCACTGTCAAATTTATTTATATAGCACATTTAAAATGCCAAATTGGCTAAAAACACAATAAAACAATTATGTACAACAGGCAATGAACAGAAATAGAAAAAAAGAGAGATTCAGCTCAACGCATGTAAACGCATTAAAAGCCAGTGAAAAGAAATGGGTCTTAAGAAGGGATTTGAAATTGCCCAGTGAATCAGCGGCTCTGACCCACGGTAGATTGTGTGTAAAAAACAATGCATTTCTTACTCACTGTTGATTTGGGTCTGACCATTCATGATATGTCATCGTCAACATCGTGACAACAAAGTGCCGACATAGCAGCAGAACCACAGTAGCTCATAGTGTCAGTGGTGCTTCTTCAATTACTATGCATCTGTTTTTTTCTTAGCATGACAGGCATACATAGTGCATTTACTTTTCTTCTCCACACAGAAGCCATGCCATCGCTCAGGCCGGCCCCTCCTCTGACTCTCTCCAAACAGTCTACCAGAGAGGTGATGCTCCGAGGCAGCGGAGGGCCCCAGGAGCAACCACATGACAAACAACCCCCTGAACCACCATTAGAGCCGACATTTCTCACCATGATTAAAGTGCAGTGTGCGGCGCCTGTAATTCCTCTGTCTGCTCTCACAAAAGCTCGCAGCATCAGATACGATCGAAACAAATAGATCAAGCCATTATTCTGCTCTTACTCCGCTCTCGTCTTTAAGGGCAGAGGAGAGCAGATGGTAAATGTGTCAGTGTGCGTTGAACTAACCCGTGTCCTGCCGCTGCCCTGTGCATCTGTTTGACAGGCTTTGTTTACCAG